ACCCCTGCCTTTTCTTTTTGTGTATATATTTAATTAAAAAAAAAAAATACAGGTGAGGCCTGTATAGCATGGGACACACTGCCTGGCATTACCATTACAGATCTTGTTTAACTGTCCCAATCACCAAGAGGATCGTGTTACACCTTTGCATGCCTACCCCGGGCAGAATGCAGAGAATGGTTGTGGTAGGATGTTTGCAGTTTGGTTAGTAATAGAGCTTTGTGATTTTGCCTGGAGACAGGCCTAAACGATTCCTAGTTAACTGAAATTAATCTGAAGTTTGAAACGTACCCAAATCCCACAACCAATGTTTGTAATTATTCTATCCCTTGTGAGTTGTTCCCTCCCTCCAAACAGTACTTGAGAAATTGAGGAACATGTCATGAATGAGGCAAGAATCCTGTGCTAATTATTCTGTGCAGATAAAAAGGATGTATTTTCATCACTGAGAAGGATAAAAACTGAGAAGCCGAAAGGTTTTACATTAAATGGTGAAGGTGTTACCAAGAATACCCCCAAAAGGAAAGCGTCAGAGAGTAGTGACAAAAAGCACAGCCTACTGCTGAACAGCCTCAGTTTAAATCTCAACACTCATACCTGTTAGCTGTGTGTACTTGGACAAGGAGCTTAACCTCTCTGGGCTTTAGTTTCCACATTTCTTAAATGATGAGAACAATAGAGCCTATTCCATAGGGTTGCTGTTAAGATTAAATTATTTAATATTTATAAAGAACTCAGAACTGTGTTTGAAACATAATAAATGCCATGAGTATTTGTTGAAGAAAAAATATTAAGGAGCAATCTACACGTTAGAATGCAAATTTTCTCAGTATTTCCAATTTTGAAAAACACTTATTTAAGTAATTCCAAATTTGCTAGAGAAAGTGGCATTTTCTTTGAGACCATATATTCTTGGTAACTTTGTGTCCTGAAACAATATATATCGGATTAAACAAGGTTTGGAGGCACATAAAACCTAAATTCAAATGCTACTTCACTGATTCATTAGCTTTAAAATTTAAACTCAGTTTGTTCATCTATTACAGGGGTCAACAAACTACAGGCCACTAGCCAAATCTGGCCCACTGCCTATAGTTGTAAATAAAGTTTTATTGAAACACAGCTATACCATTTGATTTCACTTTGTCTGTGACTGCTTTTGTGTTACAAGAATGGAATTGCTTACTTGAGACAAAAACCCTCTGGTCCGTAAAGCCAAAAATATTTACTATCTGGCCCTTTATGGAACCTGTTTGTCAAGTTCTGATCTATAAAACTAGAATAATAATATCCTGATTTGGTTTTTTGAGAATGAGATAATACGTAAGGCAAGAACCCAAAACATAGTTGAGACTCAATAAAGAGTAACTGCATAGCATTATCATTAAACAAAACCAAAATCTAAACTTTATTATATTTTTGTTAGTTTTCTTTGCTCATTTTTGGTCTTTTCTATCCTTTCTTTACCTAGGCCACTCTGTCCAAAAACAAAATATGAGCTTGACTTCCTCTAACTTGGATTAAACTAATCTGCAGCCCCGCTGCACCTGTCTGTTTAGGCAATTTCTATGGCTCTATTCATCCAACCTCTCTGGGTTTATGTTCTATTGTTTGGGAACATTTGCTTTATATCTCAGTGTTTCTATAGTAATCATACAGAAAGCCCAAAGATTCCGGTACCAACTTGTTTTCAATTTTTAGATTTTTATTCAGAAATAATAAAATAAGACATAATATATAAAAATATGTACAATCCATGGTTTGTGCAGTACAACAGGAAGACTTTAGATACAAAAAGACGGCAAATGGGAAAATAATAACTATCATGATTCTCAAAGGCCAGGATTGTTCAACTCGCCAGAGCCCAGAGCTAAAACCCAACATTACTAGAAAAGAGCTTCTAGTTTGCTGAGGGTCGAGGATGGGGAGGTGTTTATGCAACACTTTTTTTTCACCTTAACATTAGACACAGAGTGAAAAAGAACTCACTCTACTTCTCAGGACAAACTTTTTGCCTTTACTGAGTGGCTTATTATAAAATACAAACTGACATTTATTATTTGCAAGGGGAACATGATTTGAGGGACAGAGCTCATCAAATAAACATCAAGATTTGGGATAGAAGTATATAGGGAAGAAAGGAAGTGAAGAGAAGAAAGAATGCATTAATAGAATAAAAACAAAGTAAAACAAACTTTCTCTAGGAATTTGGAAATGATAACAGTGCTATAGTGACATCCTTAAAATGTCTGATTCAAGTATACTCTTAGAGGGATAGAAAACTATTCCTTTCTCAATATTCAAAATAGAATTCACTTTGTCTACATTTTATTTAAAAATAGGATAACCAGGAATCTACGGCTCCCCCCAAAAATATAGTGCCCATCCAGATATGGGCAAAAATTCTGTAAAAGGGAATAAATCCTAAGTAAATTCAACAGGGATTTGCTTGCAATAGAGAAGCAACATGCATCTGGGAATTGCCCCCAGATATTCATGGTGAGTCCCTTCCATCTGCATTCTAATGACATGTGTACGCTAGTTAAGGAGACCCAGTCAATGAGGACAAATATTTTGAAGGTAAAATGCAGCTGTAAGTGTCGTGCATTACCTGTGTCTTGGCTCTTGACAAAAAAAAAATTGCCATTTAAAGCTCATAACTGTTAAAATGCTAATAACTATAAAAAGCTTTCGAATGAACAGTCCATGCTGAAATAAATAACAGAAGAACATAGCAATACGAGCCTTATAAGGCTGGTAAATATTTGCTAAAACCATGCTAACCGGTAGCATATAGGTACTAGCTCTCGGAAATCGCTGCACTGAAATTATACTTTCTATGGCAATTTTTTTTTCCTTTACAGATTTCTATTTACATTTGGCTTTAAATATGAAAATATCTGATAAACTTTATAAAATGTACACTTTAAAAACATAGCTTCTGCAAAATTTTCTTGAAAAAAAAAACAAACCTGTGCACCAGAAATTTTAGATTTTTTTTCTTTTTCAGAAATAAGTTGAAAGATTTCTCTCCCTCTTTCTTGCCCCCATCCCCTCCCCCTTTCATACATCTCAAGTCTTTTTAAGTGGTAGCACTGTGTGTTTGGGGGGAGTCCCTTTTATGGTCACCCCCATTCTCCACTGCATCTTCATTTAATTTACATATCACTGAATACTCTTTGGTTTGATTATTTTCCTTTGCAAAACATCATAATAGCAGCAGCTGAAGCCCTCAATGTCCTCTCACTGTCACGACCAAATTGGTGCGTCTTCTAAACGTTCTTTTGTCCACTCACTCTCCAATTCCTTTAACTCTTTAAACAACTTCCCAAACCTGCCTTTAAATTTGGATTTAAAATAACATCCACTTGCTTAACATCTCTTTCTCGGTTTCAATGAAAATACCACCAGGGTTTGCAAACTCATCAAATTTGAAGGCTGAAATAGCAGAAACTGTCATATTTTTGCAGGCACTGCATTCGGATATGGCTGTTCAAGAACCGGAGACCATCACAAACATCAGATTACAAAATACATGATTCTAGAACAAGTTGTTTTTTAATGGCATACAGGGATATAATACCATAAAAGAGTTGATTTCGAGACTCCAATTAAAAAGTCAGTAACCCCAGAATTCACAAATAGGGAAGTTCAAACCAAAAAAGAGCTACATTGTTGAGCTAGAGCAGGGAAAAAAAAAAAAAAATTCTAGCAAGGCAGACAGCCAGGCAGGAGAGGCTTCTGGAAAACAACATGTCCCTCCTTAGTAACCTGCTCTAGGGCTCCACAGGAGACAATGATCAGCTCACACCGAATCAAGAGTATGCACACAAAAAGGGAAAATAACCCTTTTAAACCATTATCTCCTTTATTTGTGATTATGGTAATTCTGATGGCTCTCCTTGACCCTAAAATACTGAGGCACTTTCACTCCTACCCTCTGCCATGAAAAAGGCAACTTTCCTCTCCCTCCTGAATACTTTATCTGAAGTGCTGCATCAAAGTGGCTTGTCCACGCCTCTTTGCTTCCCCACTTTAGCATCTGCCACCCTCCCTGACACTGAAGCGCTGGCTCCAGACTGATGAGAAGAAGAAACCCGGAGGCCAGGCGTGGCTTCTATTCTAAGGTGAAGCTGAGCTGGAAATGTCCTCATAGACAAGGCAATGCATTCAGCAGCAATGTTTAAACCTATTTATCTTTCACGCTGGATGGCTCAGTTCTGAGGATGCCAGGATGCTAACAAGATTCAATGAAGATCTGATCTTATGGAATAAAATTTGGAATGTGCAAAAAGGGAAAGCCCAGAATACTCGAAGAGCACATCGCCATCTCTCACTGGCCAGCACTACCTCGCAGGAAAGAAAAGACATTGATATTATGTGTGTCTGTGAATTTTACTTCGCCTTTCTTCTTCTTCTTCCTCTTCCTCTTCAATTAAGAAAGTTATATGAAAGAACAAAATTTAAAAAGCACTACACTCACTAGACTCTGTGTGTATGATGCTGTGTTTTCTGAATAAGGTGCAAAAAGAACCGCTGGTTCAAGGTCTTGCTGAGGTTCAAAGTTATTGTCTCTGGATTTCAAGGCAGCCCATGGGGCTTTGTTTCCTTTTTAGTATAAGCTTCACTGTGCAAAAATATGCATTATCTTTGGTATTTATTTTAGGTAGTCTAACTTAAAATTTGAGATAACCCATTAACATCATGGAAGAAAAAAAAAAAAACCAATAACCCGGAGGCTACCATTTGGCTAGTGTTACATAATGCCCTTATGTAACCAAAGAGAGAGAAAAAAAATCAATTCTAGCAAACAAATTACTGGCCTCAAAAAATCAGGCTCTCGTGTTGGCAGTTAATAGCCAAATACTTGCCACTTTGAAGCGCATCATGAACTTTCAACAAAGTTCAACACTGACTTTAAAGTTACACAAAATAAAAAAAAAACTACACTGCAACAAAAATACAATTTGTGTTCATGTAGTTAGCAGCTTTTCAAAAATTAAGGCAGAGTCTTGCCTTTGTTATGCCATTAAAAACATTCTTGTTCCCTAAAGAGAAGCATTCTGGATAAGTCAAATACCCAACCAAGGCTTGCCTGCAAGTTCAAGTTTTGTAAAAACATAAAACAAAACATAAAAATCCATAACTTATTCTACAACATATATGTGCCATCGGGTCACGCAGAGGCATGATTAGTGCTTTACTCTAACCATCGCGCTTACAGTCTTCCTTTGAAACCATTGTGCTTGCCTCAGTTTCCTTGTGGCCGCTTGCTCTGACCCCACCTCTTCACCAGTACCGTCGTCTGTAGAACTGTTTTGGGCCTCTGACCAACAGACTGTGTTGTCAAGTGAACATTCCAGAGAAGGAACCAGTCATATCTCCGACTCTCGCCGTAAGGGCCTGGGCTCGAGAGGTACACTTGCCTGGTTGTGAAGGTCTATGTCAGGGGGCGTGTCTGTACTAGTGCTTTCTGGAACTCCGTTTTCACTGTCATCTTCCTCTTTGCTTGTGAGGGCAACTTCATTTTCATAGCAAAATGAATTAGCATTAGAGAGGATGTATTTCTTTTCTGCTAAGTCTCTGGCACTACAAAGTGGGGTGTTGGGTACTTCATAAGTTTTGTGGAACCTGGAATAGTCCACTTTATAGTAGTGCTTCTCTTCAAAGAGTACAGGCTCATAGCGGTGGCCCCAAAGGATTTCGTTCGCTAGGTAAGAGCTACGGCACTGTGTGGTCATGGCTGTAGCTTCCACCATGCCCTCCAGTATTACCACAATTTCAAAGTCTGCATTGTCAATGTCCTGTTTACTCAAATCATATAAAGGACTGTCTTCATCTATTTCATGGACTATAGTGATTGGGGACACCAGAAATATACGGTCAATGCCACTGTCAAACCCAACATTGATGTCTATTTGATCCAGGGGGATATACTCCCCTTCAGAAGTAATTCTGGATTTGAGGAGCTGTGCTCGAACGTGAGCTTCCACCAAGTGGCTTTTCCGAAGATTGCCCACTCGCCACATCAAACACAGCTTGCCATCTCTCATGGCAATGACAGCATTGTGACTGAAGACAAGAGTCTCGTTTCTCTTCTTGGGCTTTGCCATCTTCGCCATGACTGCACCAATGATAAAGGCATCGATAATGCAGCCCACGATTGACTGGAACACCACCATGAACACCGCAATTGGGCATTCGTCCGTGACACACCTGAAGCCATAGCCTATGGTTGTCTGTGTCTCAATGGAGAAAAGGAAAGCGGCCGTGAAGCTGTTAACCTCAGACACACAAGCTTTGCTCTCTTTGGATGCATCCAGATCTCCATGGAGCAGAGCTATCAACCAAAACACACAGCCAAAAAACAGCCACGAAAGAACAAAAGCCAGGCAGAAGATAACCAGCATCCACCGCCAGCGAATGTCCACACATGTTGTAAAGATGTCTGCGAGGTATCGTTGTCCCTTCTCACCCACGTTGATGAACTGAACGTTACAGTGGCCATCTTTCTTCACAAAGCGGCTCCGACACTGCTGTCGAGTGTGGACTTTACTCTTCCCGTTCCCAAAGCCATTTGCAACTGCCATGGTGGCCAGCTTCATGCCGTCTTCTTCTGAAGAGACAATGCTATAGCGGTTGGTTCGCACACTGCCCATCGCTTCTGCTGGGGACTCCAGTGCTTCTGCTTTGGAAAACAGTCTGAGTTTTTGCAAAACCCTTTGGAGAAACAGTTTTGAATGTTCAGGGAGGACACACACCAAAAAAAAAAAAAAAAAGGGAGGGGGAGAGATGAGTGTCTCTAGGAGCCTTGGAGTTCTACCAAGGTCTGTCTACTGCCATGCAGAGTTACCTTAGTAACTCAGTTGACATCCAGGGAACATGTCCTGCAAGAAAAGAGAGAGCATTTGTTACAAAAGAAGTCATTCTTAAAGAGTTCTATTGTCTAAGGCAACATATCCTGACAAAAACACATAATCAGATATACATAAATACACTTCGCATTGAATTATAGGGTTTTCATTTTTGTATTCTAAAAATTCTTTTTAATTTTATTTAAAAGTATAAAGTCATCAAACATAAAAAAGTTGTCTCTGACCAGTTGTTCAACCAAAATTTCAGGTCCCTTTTCCCTTACTTTTTTTTTTTTAACCACCTATCTAGAATATTCTATTTTTCAGATCTACCTCTCCTTTCTCTTATTCTTCTCTTTTGCCTTCCCTACTTGCTAGGATTCCAGGTTACTAACCAGAAGAAAGACTTTCTGATTTCAAGGTTTGTCACAAAGCTTTTAGAGCTAGGACATGTCTAGAGAACTTTTCATCTGAAAGCAGCATTGATACTAATTGAGTTGCACATGCATTGTGGAAGAATATTAGAGCCCTTGATGACAAGGTTGAAACCAGAAGACACAGGCTATTTTGTTTAAATGGTATAACTGAGCAGACAGCCTTTATAATCATCTGAAATGGCCCCCAATTTCTGGATACTGTTTGGCCTTGTTCCATCACTTCTCACACTTTAAGCGGTCACTATCCGGAAATACCTGATAACATCTCTATTAGTGTGAGTGATTCTGACTTGAAGATGAAGCAGGTTTGCTCTGGGGAATAGACCGTGATTCTGTTGCTTAGCAATAAGAGTCCTGAAATTCTCCCGAGATGGGACTGCCATATGTAATGACGGCTAGGAAGTAAGCACCATTGTGTCAAAGGACCAGCTCTTTAGCGGATTGCGATAAGGCAGGAACTCATTCCATGTGGGTCCAAAGCTGTGTTCTCCCAAACAGAGACAACTTTGTAAGGGCAGATCATAAATGCCAATCCACTCACTTTCACTTTGAGTGCCGCTGTTTGCTATAGGTTCCTATGAAGAAGGCATTCACCTTTACCTAATAAAACCAAATAGTAGTTTTCGGTTTTCTCCTATTGCCTCACTCTCCCCTAGGTAAAAACTTTAACTTTCCATCTTCCCTAAGAAAGTATTTTTTTCCTTAACTAACAAAAGCCTAAGAGAAACTCTAAGGTGTTTTCTTTACCAAATGCATATTAACAAAACTAATATAGCCTAGAGCTAAAAGATAAAAATGATTCTCAACTTTTCAAACAAACAAATGCATCTCCTGTATTTAAGGGAGGAAATGACCAACACATGGAAAGGATCAGAAATTTGTTAAAGCCTTTATAGTGAAGACTCCACTTTTTCTTTCTCCGCTAAAGCCATTAAGATTAAGCAGTTAACAAAACCAATTTCATACAAGCCAGCTACAAACAAATAAAGCAAACCTTTTATCTTGTGCCTGTGCATCTCCTTAAAAAGAGGCAAGGTGCATTGTCTTTGAAAATGCCTTGTTACAGTCTTTTGACTTCTTCCTCTTTATCCAAGTTATTATGCAAGAATGTGCCCCAACACATTTTTCCTGAGATTAGTCATCTATGAAAATTGCAATGTGTGTTACATTTTGGCAGCTTTTGACACCTAAATGATGCCCGATTTGAAAGTGCCTTTGAATTACTTTATAAAAAGAAGTTACTGTGCCTTCCTAACCTTCTGCGTGCTTAAATGTTTTGTCTGCTTCCCTATGAAGTTTGCACTTGGACAAAAGAAACAAGAATCCTATTCCTCAGAGTTCTAGATCCTGGACATGGAAAACATTTTTTTGAAACAATTATTTCAGCTTAGTTAGCTTACATGAAATTGACAATCATTTCCATACAGAGATAGCAACAACATCAAATATAGGTATACTTTCAAAAGAAAAGAGGGAGTGGGAGGAAGATCTTCATTTAAAGAGTGCTTTGTATCCTTGAGCTCTGACTTCAGAACCTTATATTTTAAGCTGACACCAAGAAATTCCCTTTTCATGATTCAAAACAATCCTTCCATCTGAGTTACCATTAGGGGCCACCAGTAGACAGTCTCAAATTTCTTCTGACTTCTTTCTGCACTCTTTCCAAATTAAAACACAACAACCATATGAAATCTAAAGACTGAATTATGACTTTCCAAAAATCTTGACCCCAGGACATTTGTTTGAATTCCACAAATCACACAATACTAGCTTCTTATGAATAGCTTTCCGTATTTAGAACCTTGAAAACAGCCTGTATTGAGTGACTATTATTGTCTTATTTCCATTGCTAATGACAGAATTTGTTCCACATGTGGAGCATCATTTAGAAATTTTACCATTTCTTCCTGGAAAGAGAAAAAGAAGACTTTTTTTTTTGGCAAAATGGAAACTTTTGTCACTTCAAACAGATATGCTCCAAAACAGATTTATATGTGTATATGTGTGCACACACATTGTGTATATTCAGACTTTTGTGGAGCTGATTACATGACAAAAAAGTCTAGAACCTGTCAAAGCCTAATAGAGTAACTGTCTTTTAATATCTCAGTGTAAAGACTGCCTTGACTATTAACCTGCCCACATGCCTGAGTGGCTTTAACCAAGCAGAAAACTTCTTGCCTGCTCCTCTTTCACTAGAAATCAATTTGTGAGCACCTGGGGAAAGCTTTCATTAAAAAAATAGGACTTTCATGGGACTTCATTTCAAGCATATACTCAAAATAATGTTTTGAGAAACAATCAATTCAGAATAAATGAGGACACTAAGTGATTTGACTTCATGATGGATATAGGTCCGGAGAATTGATATTTGATTTGATGAACAATGTATAAATTCCCCTTTCAGCCAAAATATTTAGGGTCCTGGATATAAATTTAATAGACACAAATAATCATTTTACCCAGGCCATAACCAATGATGTAGAAAGTATTTCTGGGAAATTGAGAGGCTACATGTGGTGCTGTTCATGTTAAGACTATTTATAGGCTGAGCCAAAATTAAGCATAAGCAATGGAAAAAAATAGTTCAGCGCTTCAATCTTAGGTAGATGTTAAAGGAGAGAGAGCTATGGATAAATTCAAGGTCAAGGAGATCACGTGATACAAATGGGGGATCTAATTTGCTCTCACTATATGGGAAATATTTCCAGTACGGTTTATAAATAACTAAAAAAATATAACCGTGAAGAATAAATGAGAGCAAATGTGCCCCATAATATGGTCATGGCATACAGTGAATATGAAAGTTTCTAAGGGTAGGAAATAAAGACAGCAAAAGAAGACGTACTGGGCTGAGAGAGAGGTCTGCTAATGAGGGTTTAGAGTAGCTATTCCCCAGCTGACGCCATATAGACCAGCCTGAGTGTGCTCTGGGCACATGTTGCTATGTGAGCACAACTGCTAGCAAAGCAACCTCTTAGAAGCTCAGTAAACAGAAGGGAGGGGGAGGGGAAAGTGGGGAGGGGAGGGGAGGTACCAATTTATCTATGTGAGCACTATCTAACAATTTATACTCAACAACGCATGTAGCATTGCTCAGCATTTGTATATGCTGAAAAATATACATGTTTGGTAAACAAAAATATTCACTTAAAAAACAAAACAGTCAAGAATTGCTCAGGTAAAGTTGTGGTCAATCTTTCAGTCTACTCAGAAGTCATACAAGGACTCTATAGCAAACCAGAGATTCTGTAACTGGAGAGTCTAAAGAATGTAGAAAGACTATGTTCTTTAAAAAAGAAAGAAAGAAAAACCAAATTCACAAGGATTTAGAACAAATATCCCTTACGGATACAAATAACATTAAAAAAAAAAAAGTGCCACCAAAATATAAGGGGGAAGGGCAGAAAGCAAAGTAAGATGACCTTGACCCCAGCTCTTACCCCCTCCACCACCCTTGAAGTAACACCTCTTACTCCTGAGATCGGTTTTTCCAGATAACGGCAAATATAAAGAAAACACTTGGAAGTGAGCAGGAAACAGCTAACAAGTGTAAAGGCAACATACAGCAGACATACAACAGAGGTTAGCGAGAGGAAATGTGACTATTATTAATGCAAAAAGAAAACAAATTGTAAAAGGCAATATGCATTCTTTGCATACCCAGAACAGGTTTTCAAATAACGCCTGTTTCCTAACAGGTAAATTCATGAGTTCATGAAAATCCCCAGAATTCACAGCCTTATCCTAGTTACCATCCTACTAATATCCTTCCTTAGACACAGACATTAAACTGCCCACTTCCTATCTCTATTTTTTTTTCAACTGTCATGATGAATCCATGTTATGATGCAATCGTTTTGCAGAATCAAGTCGTTTTGATCATTTTGCTTCCCTAAAACACACTGTTTTCAAGCTAGGTGTTAATACCATTATTACTAAGCATATCAAATTACTTAGGGGAGAGTGATGTGAAAGTTTTGCAGTCTTCAGGCTCTAATCCAATTCGGACTCCCACTCTCTTCCCCCAGGAAAGCAACTTTGAGACGCTCACTCTGTTTAGAGCTCGAAGCTATGACCAAAAAGAAGACGCCAAGGATCAAGAATAGTGCTGAGTCCCAAGTCCCAGGGTTTGCCAAGGTTTAAGACCAGGGCTCAAGACGCGTCCCCACCTCCAACCACCTTTTTTTCCCCCTTAGAGTGAGAATCGAACACAGACTTTCTTGCCCTTGTCTCCAAACCCAATATCTCGCTACAGCTGGTGCACTGGAAGTTATGAGCACAAACAGATGCTGCAGAGAAATCTGTTTCTATTGCTCAACTGTTCCAAGCATGTCTCAGTATTTTTAGCTCTGGGGATGTTCTGGTGCGCACACAAACTATATAGGCATGATCTGGGACTCCGGAGCGTGGGTGAGCACTGTGACAGCTGGCCACCTCTGGAGCAGCGGGACAGGGTAGGGTAGGGGACGGCGGCCCCAGTCCACTCCCCAGGACACACAGGCAGCGAGAGAGAGGAAGGGAAGAAAACATAGCAGCCCTTACCTGTTGCTGGCGCAGGAGCATGGGGACATGGAGTGGAAGTGGGGG